CCCCGGTCAGCCTCTCTCTGGTAATTACTGGTTAATTAGCGGCGCAGAGCAGATGTCGGAGAACCCCCGCGCCGTCAACAGCCTCTGTAAACAAAGCTGGACTCAGACGCTCGCMGTCACCAGGAGGAAGAGCCGGTGCAGACAGACAGTCCTCTGAGGCTTCATGTTTCTGTCTGTCCTCCAGAAGGAGGCTTCAGTCAGTCTCMATCGCTAAAAACAGGATTAATCTAACGGTCAAATACAAGGAGTCAGCTGGGTTTACTCCAGATTAACTGGTTTCTCCTGGTGTGAAACCAGTTTCACACTGGGTTTAAATCAGTTTTAGGTCCGTGTCTCATCAGGTCCACCTCCTTCACACTGTGTGCCAAATTATTACATATATTATATTTCTCTCAGATTTTCCTTCATAGTCAAAACAAATTACAGTCAGCATCATTTYCAAGAAATCAACTAAGAATATAATTCAAATATTACTGAAAAAACTCCAAATGATAACTGTATGGTTTTAAAGTGAAAAACGTAAAATGCACTGTTCCAAATGATTACACACAACAGAGTTTCTAAACATTTTATGGGTTGTAAAGAACTGAAAATGGTCATTTGTTGAATTTGCAGCAGGAGGTCATATTTACTGAAATCAAAASATTTTTCAATCAAAAACATCTTAACAGGTCAGGCTACATTTTAACACAGGATCCATTGAACTGGTGAGTTTTTTGTTTTTTAATTTCTTTGCAGGATGTCAGAAATGCCTCTCAGAGCTGCTGTTTRGATGTGAACTGCCTCCTGTCCTCAGAGATCTTTGGTTGGAGGCTTCGAAGGTTCTCAGTAAGGGTTGAGGTCAGGGGAGGATGGGGGGTGGGTGGGCACACCATGAGTTTCACTTTTTATGCCCGTAGCAGCTGCAGAGGTTTCCCCTGCAGCATGACTTGGAGCATYGTTATGCATGAAGATGATTTGTCGTAATGTTCCTTTTGTGAAATATCCAAGGTTTTCATACCTTGTCCAAGGTATTCAACTGTTTCACRCTTTTCAGCAGCAGAGATCTGTTTTCTTTCCCAYATTGTTTGAAAATCAGGYGTTTAGCTAGAGGGGAGTTGTAACACCACGTTCAGTTTTCTGGCGCCTTCTTTCAGCTGGTGACGCCTCAAAACGCCTTCAGGACACCGCGCTGATCTCCAGGTTTGCCAACAGTTGGATTTTTATTCTACACGAATTTCTCAAGTTTTGGCTGGCTTAAAGCGTTGATGCCTTCTTCTAACATCCTACTCAAAAACCTGTTGGAAATGTGGGTCTGATAATAATGTGGAATGTCCTTCTTTAGTAGTTTTTCCTTTAATTGCACTCACCTGACTAACTAATTATCACAGGTGTCTGAGACTGTTTCAGTGATCTAAAGAGACCCGAGACACAACACCATCGATGAGTTGAATTGAAAGACAAAACAAATAAATCTTTATGACACGTAAATAGAATTTACACAATAGTGAACAGWAAGCTGCAGGTTCAGTTGGAGGTTCTGGAGCACCCAGGTGTGTTGGGCACAACACCCACTGAGCTCAGAGGCAGCTGGTCTGGGAGGGAATGTGAAAGAGTGGTCCACAATTCCTCTACAACCATGTGGCAGAGTGATAAAGTCCTAATCAGTACTCAGAGTTGACGGTTCTACAGGAGGTTCTGTTGGGTCAAGGCTTTAAATGAGCTGAATTGAACMTTTTGTTCTTTAAAAAAACAAAAACAATCAGACATCTAGAGAAATAAAAGTAAATCTCTTGTTTTGTCTGAGTTCTGTTCCRGCTCAGAACTCAGGTCCGATCTGATCACAGCAGCCCTGTTCCAAGTGTTCCGAGTGTTCTGAGTGTGTGTGTGCTTTTAATGAGCGCGGCGCTCTCTTAACGAAGGCGTTCCCTCGTTAACGAGCAGCGAAGTGAAGCTCCGACACCTCGAGATGTGGAGAGCGGCGCTGAGAGCGACTCTAATGAGATCAGAACCAGCAGAACACGGTTCAGAACCCGAGGAAGAGGAGGAGGAGGAGGATTTGASTGGCAGATTATTACTAATTAATTTATCTGTTCAGAACAACGGGACGTTACTGAACGACTAGTTTCAATCATCTCTGCTTCAGTTTCAGCTGCTTTTACAAAACTACTTGACAAAAACACAGAATATAATGAGTTGTACTCTGAAATACACAAATACTTTTACTGCAAAATACAACAGATGAGTAAAAACAACCTCCTCCTGTTAGACAGTCAGATGTTACATCATCCATCCTGCATCCAACCATTCATCATCCATCCATCCTGCATCCAACCATATATCGTTCATTCATCCATCATCCATCCTGCATCCAACCATTCATTATCCATCCATCCTACATCCAACCATTCATCATTCATTCATCATTCATCCATCCATCCCGCATCCAACCATCCAGTACATCATTCATTTATCATACATCCATCCTGCATCCAACCATATATCATTCTTCATCATTCATCCACCCTGCATCCAACCATTCATCATTCATCCATCCTACATCCAACCATTCATCATTCATCCATCCATCCCGCATCCAACCATACAGTATATCATTCATTCATCATACATCCATCCTGCATCCAACCATATATCATTCTTCATCATTCATCCATCCTACATCCAACCATTCATCATTCATCCATCCATCCTGCATCCAACCATATATCATTCATTCATCATACATCCATCCTGCATCCAACCATATATCATTCTTCATCATTCATCCACCCTGCATCCAACCATTCATCATTCATTCATCCAGCATCCAACCATTCATCATTCATCCATCATCCATCCTGCATCCAACCATTCATCATTCATCCATCATCCATCCTGCATCCAACCATTCATCATTCATC